AAATTTTTGTGCACCGGGCCTCTAGTATATATATAAAAGGCTAATATGCAAAGTGTCCCCTTGGGAGTTTGACCAGGGGACCCGGAGTTCGGTCGCTCGCTATGATGTGCGCTGACCACCAGGGGGCGGCACAGAACGAAGGAAGGCCCCAGCCAGTAGCCGGAAGGCCCTGATCGGCCCTGATCGCTGGCCAGGCCTAGGGACCCTACCCATGCATGATTTTCGTGCACTGGGCCTCTAGTATTCCTATAATTTGAATTCCTAGTAAGGTGATAGCTTGTAACCTGATCTACCTTAGGATGTTTTTTTCCCCTAACAATCACCTGAAATTGGAAGCAGATAACCAGAAAGTTGGAAAAGAGTCCTAGCCAGTTTGGCTCAGTGCATAGAGAATCAACTACGGACCGAAGGGTCACGAATTTGATACCAGTCAAGGTCAGGTACCTCGGTTGCACGCTCGATCCCGGCCCTGGGCACGTGAGAGAGGCAGCCAATGGATGTGTCTCTCTCACATCAACGTTTCTCTCTCTCTGTCTTTCTCCCTCCCTTCCACTCTCTCTAAAAATCAATGGAAAAATATCCTGGGGTGCCCTGACTGGTTTGGCTCAGTGGATAGAGCGTCGGCCTGCAGACTGAAGGGTCCCGGGTTCGATTCCAATCAAGGGCATGTACCTTGGTTGCGGGCACATTTTTCCAGTGGGAGTGCGGGAGGCAGCTGATCAATGTTTCTCTCTCATCGATGTTTCTAATTCTCTATCCCTCTCCCTTCCTCTCTGTAAAAAATAAAATATATTTTTTTAAAAAATCCTGGGGTGAGGATTAACAGCAACAAAAAAATGTTGGAAAAGAGCCCTCAAGCTGATGAAACGTGTATGCCCTCCCATGCTGCTCGCCACAACCAGTATGGGAGAATTCATTGTTACAAGTGCGCTGCCCAGCTCACAGTTCACAGCCCAATCACAAAGCTATCACTCTAGATCAGTGATGGCGAACCTATGACATGCGTGTCAGAGGTGACACGCGAACTCATTTTTTTGGTTGATTTTTCTTTGTTAAATGGCATTTAAATATATAAAATAAATATCAAAAATATAAATCTTTGTTTTACTATGGTTGCAAATATCAAAAAATTTCTATATGTGACACGGCACCAGAGTTAAGTTAGGGTTTTTCAAAATGCTGACACTCTGAGCTCAAAAGGTTCGCCATCACTGCTCTAGACCAAGCATGTCAAGCTCAAAGGTTAACACAGGCCAAATAAACAAGGTTTAAGTTTATGTGGGCTGCAAAAAAACAAAAGCTTCAATTTTCATAGAAACGTAGGTTTATTTTGATAGAGGCATGCTGAATACAAAAGGCTGAAATAAGTGAGCAATTGTTGATATACAATAATAGAACGTTTTAATAAAAATTAGTATTTTCTCTTGAACACTAACTTACCAGACAATGAATAACTGCACAAATTAATAAGCATAATGCAAATAAACCTATTTTCTTGTTCTCCGAAAGCGAAATATTTCCTGTTGCGGACACCAAACGAGTCAGTACAAGACTAATGACGTGGCAATCAGCTGCTAAAATATTTGCTGCTAGTATTAGTGGAGAGAAATGGTGCGCTCTTAAGGGAAATGAATGCAACACGATTATAGTAATCAATCATTAGCGAACGTTGTAGTTCATTATTAATAATTATGTATAATAGGATATTGTAAAAATTAAGTTATGAAATTTTTATTAAAATGTTTCTTACATGCCGTTATATAGGCTGGGCCGCAAAAATATTCGTTGTGGGCCGCAGGCGGCCTGTGAGTTTGACATCCTTGCTCTAGATCCTTTGACCATCAATAAAACATTATCTTAAGGGAAAAATAAATTATATGGCAAATAAATCCTCAGGTAAGGATTTAAAAATGAAAAATAAAGACTCTACAAATCTTAATAACTTCTGATAAATATTCAAATGTAGTCATTTTAAGCAATTACGTGAAAACGTTGAAAAACCAGAGTTACATATATATCAGATTTGTTTACTCCTTTAACTTGAATTCAACTCTAAATTGCTTGAAATCATTTATCTCAACCAATGAAACAAGATGGGAAAAGGAGGGAAAAGCACGCAAAGCAGGATAAGAAATAATCCCAGGATCAAGCTACTTGTCTTAGCTAACAATGTAATGGTTCCATCCATCTATCCAACTTTCCATTAACTTTCTTGTTCAGCATGCAAGCTTAAGATCCATAAGCCACCGTCACAAAAAGCTTGTGGGTCTTTTGGAAGAAGTTTACAAAACACCACGGGAATTCTCCAAGTTTATCTATGAAGTCCCATAGGAAGCCAACTCTAACCACGCACGCTTCTTCCTGCAGCAGGGTTTGGCAAACTATGGCCCACAGGCCAATTCTGGCCCAACGCCTGCTTCTGTAGAACCCATGCACTATGAATGGCTTTTACATTTTTTAATGGCAAAAAAAGAAATCAAAAGAAGAGTAATACACCTCCTGACATGTGGAAATTAAATTCAGATTTGTGTCCACAAACAAGTGTTACTGGAGCACAGCCACTCATCCACGCTGCCTGAGGCTTGTGCTACAATGGCTGAGCTGAGTGGTTGTAACAGAGACCATATGAAAGATTATCTGCCCCAAAAGTTTGCCAAAACCTGCCCTATATTAAAAGTTTTGCTAATTTGCTTTGAAATAATTGGCTTTAGCTATGTAGCTTTGCACAAGAAACTCCAGATGGTTTTACTGAATACCATCTGAGCAACATAATAGAGAAATTATTGTATCTCATTGTAGATAAGCTAAAAGCCAGCATATCCCGATGGCATTTTTTGGGGAAAATAAACAACTATATTTTTTAACAACAAAGTAGTTCATCCATCAAATCACTTTACCATTTCCAGCGGGGAAAGTTATTACTTGCCTTACTGCTTCTACCACTTAAGAAGCCCAAAGTCCTCCACTTATAAACAAAATATGCCAGAATATACGTGTATCCTTTTCTTGAAAGGGACAGAAGAAACAAAATACCAGGTGGCGCAAAGCAGGGGCTAATGATCACTTTTTGGCCTAATTATCAGAGACGTAAGAGTAACCTGCAATGTTACCTTCTGCCTCAGAATAAAGTCTTCAATATATTCTCCCTATCCGAGCTTTTTAGTAGAAAAATTTTCATACATACAGAAAACTAAAAGAATAGGTCAATGGAACTCCTACAAACTTTGCCTAGATTAATAATCACATGCTCAATTAATTACATGCTGTCATCTTTGTTTCTTCCATTTCTTCACCTGTCCTAGGCAGAACAGTGACTGAATCTTTAGGAACTAACCTGCAAGTCATCGAAACACTTCACCCTAAATACTTTAGTGACCAATACCAGGATAATAATTTTCAAGGAAATACAGATTTTTAAAAAAACTTTAGAGAGGGTATAAAAACATGAAATGGGGGGGTGGGGGGAGTCCCCTCCCTATACCCCCCAACAAATTAGTGAATTTGTTGGGCAACCTCCCAAACCCCAATAATACACAGAGTTAACACTGGAATGTTGGCCAGAGACCACGGGAGTCATCTGATTATCAGCACGATTATCAAGAGAGACCAGGACAGCTTAGCCCCCCACACTCCATGACTTCTCCTTCATGGAGACCACACCTCTGCACTTACCTGAGGGCAGCAGCGTGGTAGGTGTCTACATAATCAGAAATGAAGAGCTCTCGGTTCTTGATAACTGGGTCTGTAATAACAAGTTCTCTTCCAGAGTCTGTCAAAAAATCAATTCATTAAGAGGACATTAAAACTGAGTTTCCCAAAACAATTAGGAAAATTTTACAACTTTTTTCTTTCAGGGTCACCTCCCACTACAGAAAGCACAATAAATAACCAGGCCTGGTCAGCAAAACAAAACAGAGAAGAGGAATAATGTAGAGCAGAAATAACAAAAACAAATATTCTGCTGGGTGTGTTTTATACCTTTTACTAAAGTTCCCACCGTTTGCTGAAATGCAATAAGCACAAATTTTTTTTAAAGGGAAGAAACAACTATTGCATTTTAGCAATTTGTAAACTACTAAATATTTAATCATCCTGTCCATCTTATTTTTTATTGCTAAATAGTCCAGGATGAAGTGAAATCAAGAGTTTCCATTGGAAAGAATAACTAAGTTATTCTTTTTAATAACAAACCATAATTTAACTGCATTAACAGAAATTTTTATAGCTTCAAAGGAGAAAATAAGTAGTAAGATGTGAAAGAATATCATTTTATCATTCTTCAAAACTATTTTTGATGATGGTTGGTCGAATTAAAACCTATCACCAAAAGCAGTGTGAAGAGTGAAGGGCACAGACATCAAGGACAGAGCTGGCCTTGGCAACTTCCTCAGGATCTCTAAGCCTCATTTTCCTCATCTGGAAGTGGGGATCGACATATAATTAATGGGAAACAAATGTGAATCAGCTATCATGAGGTCTAGCACCTCTCAAAAAAAATCAATGAAAGGGAGCTATTATACATCTGAACAAATGTAATATACATTTCATGTTCACATCTTATGTGTAAATGGAGTTATTGGGCAGACACTCCAGTGCCAGGGGAAGAAAAAAGATGCTTGAACAACCTTCCTATTGTTCTGAAAGTCAAGATGCAAGCTGAATTCCAAAACATTCAGGAAAGCTTTGCTTTGAAACTGAAGTTCAAACCCTGAATACAGAGAACTTCAATGATACAGACTCTGTTGAAAAAGAGGAAAGAAATAAAATACAATCCTGTAGGTTATAAGCATTATTAGTTCATCATTAGGCAAGAAAAAGCAATTACTGTCGTTTCCAAAAAAGACATATTTCTATCCGAGTTTACCAGGAAGACGTCATAGCACATGCTCAGGTTCTTTCCTTTTAAAGGCAAAAATAACGAAAGAACTCAGCAGGAAGTGAGTATTCCACTAACGTCCTATTGATAAGAAGCTATTTTAGAAAAAATGTTCATAGTAGTGATCTCCATTTAATAAATGTTTTCAGAACAAACTTTGTCCAAAGCTATGAAGGGCATATTTACCATTTTCATTGTGTCGATCCTGAACCAAATGCTGATACACAGAATCTGGAACTTCAGACTGACGGTAGTACCATTTGACGTTCATGAGTAGGTGGTCCCTCTTACTCTGAAAAGGAAAATCTAACAGCATTAGGAACAGGGTTTCAGGTGCCCACAGCTGCATACCATACCCATGAACACAGTCCCTGGAAACAGATGGACAGGCAGAGAGGGAAACACACAAATTCCACCAGGACCACAAAAATACATAAGTCAATAATGAGGTCAAATTTTATTTTTTCTAAATTACAGCCACAGCACCCTCTCTGATCTGATCCCTCAAAGTTGCTCGTTAAAGGGAAACAAAGGAGAGCAAACTTGAATCTATAAATATCCCCAGTTTAACTTACTCAATGTTATATATTTTTATTTGGCATTAACTATATAGTTCTACATGAATGCATGCTCCTATCTTAATTTTTGACCATTTTAAATATTTATTAACTGTGTTAATTATAAATATTTATAAACACTGTGAAGCCATTAAGGGCAATACGTTACAAAGAACTTACCCAACAAGGCCTGGCACAGTCATCTCTCCAGGGTTCGCTAATCACCCAGACTGAGTTACATTCTCCCTCCACTTTCCTGCCACTTAATTTGCAGTTATTGCTACATGGCAGACTAACACAGCAAGCTATGAGTAGTGATGAAGGTGCTGAGAGTCCATGAAACATGGACCCTGGCTTATTTATGTTTGAATTGGCAGAGAATTGAACACCTTGTATATAAGTATTTGTGAATAATGAGAGTTCTATGACGATCAGGGTCCCATAGATGTTTGTAAAACACGTAACTTTGTTAGCTATAAAAGTTAACTTTGTTCCTAGTGCATTCAAAGAACACAGTATCAAACGCTGCCCTTCCATTTGAAGGCTACACGATGAGGTACATCATCTGTGCCACCGGCTGGGAAACATCTCAACATGCCAGATCACTAGGCTTCTGTGGCCTCATCAAATAGCTTCCCAACCAGTGAGGGCCTTAAGACACTTCTGAAGGTGAATGCAATATCACTCTTCTTAGCAGCTTCTTCCTTGTCATCACAAGTCAGCGGGTCAGAAATGAATGAGCGCTTCAATCTGAGAAATGCCTCATGTTTATAAAGGAGATGGCTAAATTCTCAAATATGTCAATGGAGCCTTCATTATGCTTCCTGCTTAAATGACGTGTGTGTGTGTGTATACACATATATAGTATATGAAAAATGTATATGTTCTTCACTGAAAGGCCAGTAAGACTAAAAACAAACAAAAAAACCTTTGGTAGAATATTTAAGTCATTTAAAGGAACAGAAAGAAAAACTACCAAAAGTCTTGACTCTATGCAAATGTGAAGAAATCTATTCCTAAGTAAATATAAACATCCACATTCTTCCTTTACAATTAATTGTGCCAAATAGACAGGCTTATAAAAATAGGACAGCATTACTGGTTTCAATAAAACAGATTGTATGCAAAGAATAATCCTACATAATGGGTATCTTTACTTTCTATCCAATTTGCACTTTATATTCCACACTGTTTATACTGCAGGTGGGAAGATGAGGACAAATCAGTATGTTAAGTAATAAGAATGAATGTTACATGTAGGAGGTTATGGACAAGAGCAATTACTTCCAGCAGGGAATTATGAAGGAGGTAAAATCTAACCTGGGAAAATGGGAAATATTTCATTGGATTCTTTCTAGGCAAAGGATGACACCCAAGAAAGATATAGAGAAAGAGAAAATACAAGACATATCCACATGCACATGGTCCATCTGTGTGCAGCACAGAAAATGTTCTGCGTGGTACTGAAAAGAACCTGAATCCTGACTGTAGTTTGGCCTCCAGTGGGGTCCACTAGCCCACTGCTGACCAATGGGGTCCACTAGCCCACTGCTGACCAATGGGGTCCACTACCCACTGCTGACCAATGGGGTCCACTAGCCCATGCTGACACAAAACACAGGAGAGCAGCCAGAGGGCTACCGTTTCATTCCTAGACAAGGTAATAAAAAGCAGGCCCAGGATGAGAGCACTCATCATGGAAACAAACAAACCAGGCGGAGGGACAGTCTGGTTGCCGGGACTCGGGGCTAAAACTCACTTAAGTAAACATACTGTCTAACACAGGGCTTCTCAACCACACTGTTGCCATCTGGTCCAGCGAGGCCAGTGTGGAACCTGTCCTGTGTATTGTGAGATGCTGAGCAGCATCCCTGGCCTCCAGACACACTAAATGCCAGTAGCACCCTCCCCTTCACTGTGACAACCAAAAGTGCCTGCCAGCATGGCCAAATGTCCTCTGGGGGACAAATTACCCCCAGTTGAAAACCAATGGTCTAACAGTTTCCTTTTTAATGAAAGCTAAATCAGAATGGTAAGACTAAAACCTAGGTCAAGTACTATCAGGTGAAGAACATGGACCACAGGCAACAGAAACAACCTTTTAAAGGTACCATAACTGGCAACTGTACAATGTCTATTTTTCAGAACCCCGGCAGTGATTCTTGAAGTATAATATTTATGTTATCTTCTGACCCAAACAGTTAATTATTACACACGCACAAAATTACTGTTCTGGTTTCTTTGTACCTAGACTTATGACTCCTAATGTTAGACTTGACAGAGGCAGCGGAAAGCCTATTGGACTTTCTAATGCAGTACTACTCAATAACCAGCGAGCGGCAGCATTGCATTAAAAAGCCTCCACTTGATTGCACAGCTATAACACAACAAAGGTACTAAAGTAAACTTAAGTAGCTGAAATAGATACACTCTTCCTAAATAGATCAGAAATTTGGTTAAAGATTAAACATCTATAAATGGAGGCAGTAAATTGTTCTAGAGAGTACTAAACTGACATTAGGTAATCCGGGGGTCCTGGGGGGGGACGACCTTAGTGGAGTCACCAAGCCACATGACAAGTGAAGGGACAGAACAAAATTATTTCTATGGTCCCATTCCATCTTGCTTATGCTTAGATTTCTTCCCCAGACAAAACCAAGTAGATAAGATGGGATTAGGGGTGTTTTCTCTACATCAACATAATGGCATTAGCCAACATTACCACCCTAAAAAGGTTTTACAAATTAAAATGTCATCTTCATGCCCTAACCGGTTTGGCTCAGTGGGTAGAGCATCAGCCTTCGGACTGAAAGGTCCCAGGTTCGATTCTGGCCAAGGGCATGTACCTTGGTTGCGGGCACATCCCCAGTAGGATGTGTGCGAGAGGCAGCTGATCGATGTTTCTCTCTCATCGATGTTTCTAACTCTCTATCCCTCTCTCTTCCTCTCTGTAAAAAATCAATAAAATATATTTTAAAAAATAAAATAAAATAAAATGTCATCTTCCATGGAAGCTAACTGCAGTACACAGAGGAACACTGAAGGGAGCAGAGAGTAAACCCCTCTCCCACAAAGCTACCAAAGCCCCTCAGGCACAGGGGTGCTGCTCAAATGTGAGCCACAAGAAATCATCTTCTTCCCGCTACTCGGCAGTCAGATTCTGCTCAAAATCACAGAAAATTAAAGGTAGAAGTGAACTCAGAGGTCATCTGATTCAACCCAAACCACCTGGGTTTAAATCATGGCTTTGCAACTTACTAAGCTGTGTGACTTCGGGCAAATGACTCTTCTAAGCCTCAATTTTCTCATATGTAAAATGAGGAAAAAATAATAGTCTCTAGCTCTTTAGGTTGTGAGGATTAAATAAGTGAATATAAGTAGAGTGGGTTGGCTCTCAATAAATGCTGGATATTACCACCACTGTTTTACAGATGAAAAGAGAAGTCAAGCTATAATAAGAAGTGGCTTATAAATTTGCTTTTCTCCAATACAAAAAGCAGGCTAGCAATAGCAATAAAAAAACAAATCATGTAGCAAATTAGGTGGATGTATCTTCGGTTTTGCAACAATTCAAGAAGCATATCAAGTATATCTGACAAATATGCCTCATTATTGACTAGTGATATAATTGTACAATTGCATAAAGGTCAAAGTGGTTATAAATGACACATTTTAAACGGAATGTGGTGAGAAGCTTCCTACGTGAAGGCACCCTGGGGTATATTTCTGAATACAGAGAAGAGCCCACTGGGAAGTAAATCATTTCCCACCATTTTATCTTTAAAGAGAGGAGAGACTGATTGATTTTGTCTGAGTCCAGGTGGTTGGAAGCCACCAAACAGGAGCACCTCCAATCTACTTAAAATAGTTTCAACAGCAGTGGCTCAGTGCAAAAAAGGGGGAGCAGCTGATTCTGCGTTAAATTGTGGATTCTTCCACATGCCTGGCCAGGATTTCTTTGAAATGAGGGACTGTGTAAATTTAAGGAAATAAAGAGTTTAACAGAAGACAAACCCATCCCCACCTGGGTTTAGGAAAAAGCTAGCCTAAGTGTTTGGGAGCAGAGGAGGACATCTAGAGCTTTGAATGCCAGCCAACAGGCTGAGAATTAATGAGTTAAAAATTCAGAACTGAAATTAAACATTCAGAATGAGATCATGAACAAAGGGAGAAAGTAGGCAATGGAGACGGGGAAAGCAAACAGGAGGCTGCTGTTAAAGGGATACTGATTCATTTTTATCAGCACAACCATCCCGAATACAAATACAAGATCCAAGGCCAGGACCTTCCATACAGGTTTTTCATGATGATTAATATAGTAAGTGCTTCGATTGATTTAAATTGCCAATCTGAGTCTTTCCTAGGAGCATTATCATCATCCTCTGGGAAAAGGTTTTAACACGTTAAAAAATAAAGGAGGCACAGGGAGGTGGGGGTAGGAAGAGAAGGACAGGAGTCAGAAATGACCGACAAGTGCAGAGATTCTCTACACATATCAGAATGGGGAGAACAATACTTTTAAATTCACCTGCGTTAGAGGAAAGACCTTTGGAGCCCCATAAGTCACCTACCAGGTCTTGGCAGATTCCGTGAGGGGTCCCGAAGCCCTCCACACAGGCCATGCCAGTCCCTCTGCTGTTATCAACTGTGACAGAGACCTGGTCCCAGACTCTAACCAGGATATGAAGATGGCTTCATCAAGTGAACAGTTTCACAAACCCAAATTTAATTTCAG